GTTTATGCCTTCGGGGTGAAATCAGAGCAGAGCATTTTTAAACCGCTGGTGGGTGACAATAGGACTTAGCCAAGGATAATTGAGAAAAGCTAGGGTGAAAAAATCGCTCATCTCTATTCCCAAAATCCCTTCTCTTCCCTAAGGCTTGTTTCGAGTACTGTGAGTGGCTCGATTTGAGTGCTTCCCTTATCTCAACGACATGAGACCTGATTTTCCAAAAATTTGGTGAAGATGAAGCAGTGACACATATCAGGGACGGTAGTAATCTACCCCAAACTAGCTGTTAAGGAAAGCCATCCTATGCCCGTAACCGGCAAAGAACGTTGTTGAAGTTGGAAGTTAACTAGCTCTGAAACACGCAGCTTCGCGACATCGTAAGCAAAACTTCGCCCCTCCACGAGACCGAACCCAGCCCATGCGCAGCTGAACCGCTATCGTTGCCACTGCACCACGGAGCAGTTGCGCTCCCTTCTGAGGGGTCGCTGATCACATTAGGATGGCCCAGGCTGTTTGCAAACAACTCGCGATGTGTGGTTTCGATCTGTCTACATTGCCAGTGACGGCGTAGAGGCCTGCCACTGCGCCAACCATCGGCTGATGCGATCGGGGATGGGTACGCTCATTGTCAGAAAGATCGAGCGTCGTGTACTGCTTTTGTTTTTCTGCGGAAGTTGCGACTGGTGAGTCGCACGCATTCTTGCACTTCAATGAATCTTTCCCAGACATTCACATTTCCAATCCTAGTTTCTTTTCGATTGCGCTGCGAAACGCGGAAGAAGTCGCTTTCTGTGCTAATGAACCACACCCCCAAGTCCAAATGCCAGAGAGACGAAACCTATTCGAATTCTTACAAAAAATCCCTTTTTCTTCTTAAGGCTTAGTCTTGCTCTTATATAAGTAGCTCACTCTTTTGATTGTCCTCCCCCAAGACCTAAGCGTCAAATTGTGAATCAACAAGTAACGAAGTGGAATGAGGCAAATACAAAGAGTGGTAAGTTATAGTGCCCTTTCGTTATACCTCCAAGGCTACTTCTGCATTGCTGCCGTGTTTCAAAACTGCCACGCGATGGCAAAATAGTAGCGGCCCTCGGAACTAAGTCATAGGGGTGCAACGAAACAGAGCGACGAGCCGCCGCGGGGCCCCTTCCAACTACATTAACACTATAAAAGCATCTCGGAGTGAAATCTGCTGAGAAGTACTCAAGAATATCTACAAACCGAGGATAAACACAGCTTTCACACAAGGCGGAGTTTCGTGGCGGGATTTTTGTCCAGGAGGCTAGAGCGCACACGGTGAGGTATTGATGCATGTGGCAGCTCTAACGGTGCTAGAGGAAGGTAGGAAGGCGCGTGGACAAGGGGCTGTAAGGGCTTCCTCAAACAGGAGAGGGATCCCATCTTGGTAAGGTATGCTCTCCGCGGAAGCTTTCGGGGTAACGCCATGCCAACGGTTTCCGGAGATGTCTCCTCGACTGCATGTCAGTCACAGGGATATCTCCCCGATTGCAGGCCAATCGGGAAGATATTCCCGAGAGCCGGTGGGCGTGGCCTTCCCCCGGGAGTTTCCGGGGAAAGCATATCATACCAGGATGGGGTCCCCTCCTACTCGGGGAAGCATACCACGGCCCAAGGAAATAGAAGAGGCAATTCAGGGACTGGGAATGCGTGAACCAGTTTTCGTTCGGCAAAGGTTTCAGCATATGAAGAGCGCAAGCAAAGCATCGTCTTGATGCTTATCAAAGGAGCACTTTCAAAGAGCGCGCAGACAAATTACGCTTCTTGCACTCTGACGTTTCGCTGCGGGACCACAATTTGGGATCTTGTGCAGCGCGACTATACGCGCGAATGTGTGATGGAGTGGCATAGTCGCATTGGAAAAATAGGAGATTAAGAGCTTAGGCGTCTTCGGTTGAGTCCAGTAATATGTGCCTAGTCCTATCAGTGCAAGCGTCTTTCTCCCGATCTTCTGATATCATGATGTCACGCACGCACGCTCACATGAATATGCCCTGCGTTCGCGTGCGCGTTCATACTGTGATGTTTCGCTGCGGGATCCTACATCGTAGTCCCGCCGCGATATCAAATCGCGCGAGACAAAGAGCGAAGTTCCTTTTATTTCGACCCTGATTTCACTCTTCTTTTCCAGTTTAGATCATGTTTCGCCGAGGTGAGACTTTCATTATAAATTTTCATTTTTCATTGTACAGCGTTCCAGATTAAATTAATAAGGTTGCGAAAACACTTGATTTATGCAATTTGAAGTATGCTAATATGCAGATCCAAATGGTCCCTCGGTTGGAAGAAGTGCACTGAATCCAAGTATGCGATGTAGACTCTCCTACAAGCACAATTTCAATTAACTTGTCTAGTTTTCTTCATCTAATCGTAGAACCTCCCTCACCTCGCATGGTTTTTTACAATTACTACCATACAAAAGCACCGACCCGCATCTGGTCAGCTATTCCGAATGGTTGACGAAATTTTAAACCATATTCATCGCTTTGGCAGCTGCAGTCCATCGAATTAGCCATTTGGATCAGTTGAGCTGGAAATCGTTCATTTCGTTCTGAGTATTGTTGCTTCGAATAGATGACATTGAGATGACAGAAGGACAGGTTTGGAGAGTGGAGGGGAACGAAGGAGGTGATGGGTTGGCCAGAGGGCTAGAAGGCCAACGGACCATGGATAAGGGAGTGCTGAGTGAAAATGCCCAGTGACCGAAGCCGAAACATTTATATATTTTGCACCAGCCATCACCATGAGATAGCAAAAAAACCCTTACCGATATACGTCAAAATGCTCGAGAAGAAACTCGCTGATTTTCGCGATGTGCGCGATACACGCGATTCACGCGACGGGTCACGGAAATCACAAGTGCCGATCAATGCGTTCTAGCCGCCACTTCTGCTTGATAGTGATGGCTGAATGACGACTGCTCATGATTCCACTTGTTTCATATTCAGTTTCAAATGTTCAAATGGGGCACTTGCAATTTTGCGATCCGTCGCAGGTTTCGAGCAAATCGCGAAAATCAGCGAAATCATTGTATAAGAGGGCAATCAAACTGGGTTTGTTCCACGTGAAATTTCAAGGAGTGCAGGACAGAGTGCAATCATAAGAATGCATCACAATCATCACCATTAAGGGGGTATGTGGTGTGACAGTTCTTGCCGGCTACAGAAATTCCAATTTTTGGGGAGGAATCCCGGGGTGCGTGAACCATTTCGCTTAACTTTTACACCCACCCCGGAGCTTCCCTCCCTAGAAAAAAGTGGATTACTTCATGCATATGAACTGTCGCAGCGTCCCCCCCTTGCTGCCTGAGACCCAGTGGCGGTATTCAATCCTTCCCCAGGGGTTGGGGACGGAAATCCCTTTAAATTTATTTGTTTTTAACGATGTAGTTTCTTCATTTTCAATGCATGTTTACTTTGACCTACATACATACATTAAATGTAGGCCCTTTATCAGGACAATCCCAGTTGGGAAGACAGAGAAAATTTAAAGGGATTTTCGTCCCCCAACCTCTTAGGGGTAGATTAGAAGAATATTCCCCCTCAGAGAATTGAGTTAGAATCTAAAGACAAAAGAAATGTATACAAAAGTAGGAACAAAACGAAAGCAAGCGAAAAAACTGTACAAAACTGTAAATAATCGATAGAGAATGTGTAGGTATAGCGATCCTACATTGTACTGTTTTGCGGAAAACGATCGTTTGAAAAAAAAATGGGAAAGCTCCGTGTGGGTTCACATGTTCACTGTCTAAGAATTTCTTGTCTAGGATGCTTCACAACGAAGTACTTCAAAACTGTAAAGTTACTTCCTCATGGGATTTCTCTGGTACGCACCTTTCACCACTGAACTAATTGTAAGCGTTTTCTTCCTATACGACGCAAGTAATAAGTATACCTTTCTGTAACGTCAATTCCTTAACCTATTTCATGCCATTCCCAGTTTTGTATAAACATAATTACAAGGTGTACTCAGCGGAAATATGAAGAAAGAAATGTACCACAACGTCTGCTACTTCCACTTGATCGTGCAGTGGATCTGGAATATTCGGTTTGCCAGCCAAACTCTTCGAGCGGGTCTCTCCAACTTTTCTTCAAAAGATATAATTTTCTTATTTTCAAGATTATCCAGCGTTGAAGGTACCTCGTTCTGCAGCAGATATAGCGCGCATTTTAGCACTGAATTTCGTCATTATTTCCTTGGCAATGCTCGAGACTTATAAAGTAGCGCACATTAAACCAGCTACGTGATTTTGCAATTCATTCATAAAAATAGCAAAAAAAAATAAACGGAACGGAAAGGGAAATTGCTCACGTTCTTCTCGGAATCCCCACCTTTCCCTAAGGCTCAGTTCCAAGTATTGCAGGTTATGTTTGCTGGTTCTTATTTGTTTGAGTGACAGCTGACGACAGCTACTCTCAGGTTCATGATCATTCCTCTTCTAATATTGCCCCTTCCTTAATAGCAGTGTATCCACAGAACGGCGCAGCTCACACGGCTTTAAACCGGTAGTATGATTCTCCGCAGTGGCATAATGAATAAATTTGAGCGTAGGATCTGGTGACGAGACAGTAAACGGCCCTCTAATGAGAATAGTTCCAAAATTTTACAAATCACAAGCGTTTTCCTTATTTTTTTAATCAAAAAAAGCACCACACGTAGAAGAGACTCTAGCTCCGCTGTGTAGTTTTGATAGGAAATTACGATAACTAACCTTGGTTATGTTTAGCCGCAGATCAGCAAGCCAGTGTAATCCTTTTTTGTCTAGAAGGCATCGCATCCACAATAAGGTTTCCAGCAATGACTTCGTCGAGCACTCTGCATAGACATCAACAGGCATCACTGAAACAAAGACGATTTTGAAGATATCGTGCGCTTAAAATGCGGAATCTCTCAGCGGAATCACTAAACGGAGCAGCAAATGTTGGGAAACGTAGGAAACGAAATTGAACGAAGAAAAATGGAAAGAAGAACCCGAATAAGTCATGGGAACACCACAAAGCGGAAGGCATCTAAACCTTTGATTTTGAAGCACAATCGCCGGAGAAGAAAAAAGCGGCGGAATTGTCACGGCCTAGAAATGAATATCCGCGCAAGTGGCACTGACAAGCGACGCCGCCTATGACTGCGTAGCTGCCTGGATCCCCGTATGGATGTGAGTTGCGCGCCTGCCAGACTCAGCCACACCCTCTCGCCGTCTCCAACCTCTCCAAAACTGTGCTCTCTCCCTTAATTGCTTCCCCTCGTCCACACTATTTCGCAATCGACTTTACCCATCATCCAAGTTTGAAGTTCGCCAACCCCAAAAAGTCCTCCGGAGGACTTTTTGCCTGCGCGTTACTTTCGTCACCTGCGTCTCTCCAAACACACACTATTTCGCCCCTGCGCGTCCCGTTATCTGTCGGCGAGCCTGCCTTCCGCGTTTCACAGCTGCGCGTTACGAGGCCTGGGACGTGCAGCTCACTTGGGAATCGACGCAATATACAATGTAATCGGGAAAACTTGCACCTGCACGTTACAAACGGGTTTGAGAAGCCCGTTAACGTGCAAGTTTGCCTACTTTACTACCGTCCCAGATTTTTCTTCGTATATGTCGCTTGCTATATTCGCTGTTTTGCTTCATGATTCCTTAATTACTCCATTCTTCAGTTGTTTGTAGTTTTCTTATCGTTTTTTTTTCTTTGCTGTCGTTTAACTTTTTGCCAATTTTCTTTTTCGGGGTCCTCCTGGTCGTGGATTTGCGTCTGTGAGAAGGTGGCAATTAAACTTTTACCGATTGTTATGTTTTCATCACTAGAATCACGTAAAACAAGCTCCAGATGCCGTCAGACGAGCAATGTTCGTTTGAAAGAACTGTACGGTAATGTTTACATTAAATGTCGTGTTAGATCAAGTTGTTCTTATAGAAGTTACTGGGTAAATAAAGGTGGCGGTCCAGGACGAGAGTAAAAATGGTTCTTTCAAGTACTTGTTAATTTCTGCCTTGTCAGTAAGAATGATGAATCAGAATCAGACAATCACTTGTATTTGAGTGCGTTCGCTACCGCTTTGATTTGAGAAAATATGTCACAGGGGTTTTTCTTCCCCAGGCGCATCGGCATGCCTAACCAATCAATTCGGATGATGATGCTTTGCTTGTGAGTTCCGGTGTTATCAGTTACTTTTCATGCTTGGCTTGTATACGATGGCGCTTTTTGCCAGGACTTTGCCTCTCTATGCGCAAATGGTTTGTCTATTTTGCACTAGCGCGTTTTCTGTTACGCTATAAGTTGAAGTGGAGGGATAACGGTCCGGGATGCCTTGTGGATCGATATCGGCCATGCTCTGTAGGCAGCCGAGGAGAGACTGGAGATTTTGAAATTGACTCGCAGATCTTTTGGATGAGCCTAGCATCGCGTCAGTTTATATGGAATCGGCCTTTTGGAAAGAGTTCATTCAGAACGAATGGCTGTATGTAAATGTCGGTACTGGTATTTCGGTACTTTCCAAATCGTTGACGTCGAGGTTTGACTGATCGAGGAAGGGGCAGCGTATTTGCTCTTCTACAAACAAACACTAGAAGGCAACAGGAGCAATTAGGGCATGGATGGCCAAGGAGCAGCGTAAATTACGAACTTGGCTTGCATTTCAGAACATACAGTTCAATTGACATGGGCAAAGTATCGATCATTCAAAGCTATAACCCTGGATTAAATTGCTGAGGTCAAAGCGGTCAGTTAATAATTGTTGGTGTCTAGTGATGAAAACAAAAGGTGCCCCTTATGCGCTTTACGGACACTCGCTTGCACCTGGAATGAAGGGAGGGAGCGGAGGTGGTGAGGGGGGGGGCGGTGTAAGGACAAGTCTTCTACTTGATTTCTTCCTTTGTTCCGGTCTGCGCAGATCAATTTGAAATCGGCCTTTTTTGAATAAAGTCAGTGTGTGATCTATTTCGTGCGTCATCTCACCTGAAAGATGGGTTACCTAACACTTTCAAACTTTTACTACATAAACAATGGCTCATGCACCAGGCCCAACACCCCACCCCCACCCCTCCATCCCCCTGGATTGCCCTCATTCCAGCCAATCACGCAATCTCCACGGCTAGCTATAGGGTAGTGGGGGCCATTCGACGCCTAATAGCGTCTTTTGAAGGGCACCTTGTTCATCAGCAACTCCTTCCTACCTTCTCATCCTTTATGACCGCATATCTTTTCAAGGATCAGTAGCATTTGGATGGGACCTTTCTGGTTTGCTTTTAATGTACCATAAGTGTTCCCTGCAGGCTTACCAACAATCTTTCGCCCGTGTGCTGCTCATTCCCAGCAATTTTTGGATGCTTTACCAGTCGCTAAAACCAGAGCTGTTCCATAGACAATGTTCAACATGTGGTAGCTATAACTCAAAGGTGCTCCCACATGACATGTTGAACAATTAAATTTCGATTGATGCGAAATATGATTTCTGCGAACCCGGAAGGGATTATTATCCTATGATTAAAAGGCGAAGTGCTATAGTAAGCAATCGGTTGGGTTCCTATGTATGAATAGAAGCTCGCATACGTGCGGAAGTTTTTGTTCGGAGACCGATAGCCTTCAGTTAAGTGGGTAAGATCCTTCATCTTCATTGTTCTACCCGAATGTCACATGTCAAAGCCAGACTGACTCATGTGCTCTGTGCTCTTAATCTGAGGCTTTTCATGGTCCTTATTCTAGTCACTAATACGATCACAAACAAAGGGATCATTCTCTAATTATTAAATGGGAACTGTTGTTGAACTCGTCTAGCCTTTTTAATTGATCTCGCTAGTAAGTGGTTCTTACGTCAAGAAGTTCACAGACCGCAGTAATTAATGCATTGGTGGAGGGGAAGTCTGGGCTCAATGACAATCCATCCTCTGTCTCGCTTTCGTGTCTCGTTTCTAGAATGCCCCCAACAATGCCTGGGTAAGCTTAAACGTTTAGCGCCACATAGCATAGTTCACGTGCCCTTGATGACTCATAAAAGAAACTGGGTCTCAATATTTAATTTCTCGGTGCTATCGAAATATACGGGGCATCCTCTGGAACTAGACCTAGGAGAAGTCAGCAACTCCGGGAATGTGGAAATGGCTCCCGCACCCTAACAACTGTTCTCCCAAGGCCTAAGGTCAGCTCCATTTTTACACAAAAAGGATATATTGAAAGGACGTATTAACGTTCTAAGTGCATTACCACCACAATGCCCCTTATCATGCGATAGCGCCTGATTTTGCCGTAACTCTGAGCCTGAACTTGATGTACTCGCTGTTGAAATTTTGCAAATGTACAAAGATTCGCAAAGATAAAGCCGTCGATCTATGTCTGGTGGTACCTAACACGCCGTGCAGGTCTGTTTACACGGTTCAAAGCCGTATGAGGTTCGTTCCTGGTTTGGGATGGGATACTCTCTGAAAGGGGTAGGGAAGAATGTCTTCGGGTAAGAGTGAAGCAGTACGTGTACCAAGTAGTTTGTTGGGGCGCTTAAAATGTAAGATATCGATTTTCTGGAGAACGGTATCATGGCTTCCCTAAGCTGCGAAGAAATCATAACGGTAGACATCGATCACAGAGAGTGGCCGATGTCAGACTTTGCGATTGGAGCGATTTTGCACCAATTTCCAGGAGCGACGGATCACTTGAGCGATACCTCGCTGCGGGAGCGACGAGATTTACCCGAGCGGCGCCGTGTGTATCGGTGGTCGGCGGTGTAAATCTCCCGTCGCTCCTGCAATTAGGTGCAAATTCGCTCCAATCGCAAAGTCTGACATCGGCCAGTTGAGCATCTTCTCACTAAGGCAATTGACAGGGCTGATGTCTTGCTCTTCTACACTTCGTAGAATTATGGTCACCAATGAGTCTTCACAAAAAGTATTTAATATGCTTTCCCATCTACTCCACTTTTCCCATTGCTTGGGTGACGCTATTTCCCATCGGCTCGCAGTGACGCTAAAGTTCTTGCTGCTTAAGTTCCACACGGTCAAAAAAATTAATCCCCTTATCTACAAGTGGGCCCTACTATACCCTTTATTGCGAAACCATTTTTTTGTGACATTTTTCCGGGTCGAAGAAGTAAATCTTAACGTTCCGATACACCTACCCGAGCCGAATTGCATAAACCACTACCCAACGCCATTGAGGCCTTTGTCATACTAGCTTTCCCAAGCCTCCACACCTCTCTTCGGCAGTTCCCCAACTTCTGATCAGGCCCCTTCACGCCGATTTCACTTCCACCAACTCTCCAAAACCACAGCTCACATACCATGTATTCAACATTCTGTCTTGGTTCAAACAATTCAATAATCGCTTTCGTCATTATTTTCTGCTGATAGGCAGAGTTTCACTGATGAACTCAGAACAAGATAGTGCCTTACTCTGTATGGGTTACCTAGGAGTAACGTATGTGTTAAATAATCTCGGCTCAGGTGCATTTGTCAGAAAAAAGAACGACTGTGAGAAATGAAAGTTTGGAATTAAAAGGCCTTAATCGATTGCAATCATTTTTTTCTATTTTACTTACTCAGATGCCGCATTCGATTACTTCCGCTTTCCACTTTTATTGGTAAAGATCCCTTTTTTAGTTTTCTCCCAGTCTGGAACCTATATGCAGCTTTCCTGGTTAAGGTGATTCCAGCATGTAGCACACCCACAAAATTTAATCAATTTGTAGTGGAAAACCGAAAATATAGCTGATAATTTATTCATTAGCCGATGGACCAAGCACCATGAAATTACTCGTCTAGCGGAAAACAATGTCATCGCGAATCACCAACAACGACGTGCAGACCGCATCTGACCTGTGCCCAAAATGTCTAGTAATCATCAACTTGCCTTTATTTCACTCTACTCCATTTTTTTCAGGTTCCGTTTATTTATATCTTAATTTCGTTGCGCCCATCTTGTATGGACTCCTTCAGAATGCGCCACATGACGAATTCCATTCGGAACAGTCCAGATATAGGACTTGCACGCATGGCTTTGCAAGGGAGTTTCGAGTCAGCAAAGGCTAGATTACAGGTTAAATGTGAATTCAATGCACTCTGTCAACGAATTAGAGATTTCTGAAACGGGCTCCGAGAAGGTTGGAGGGGGCATTAAGCTGCGCTCTGCTGCTCTTGGACCAACGATAAGAGCTCAGATAGCAATCTTATTTGGAGTCGCTTTTGATAAAAACCTGTGGGCTGTCATATTCCGCACACGGTCGGTCGTCATCCCACTCAGGAGCTCCCCACTCTCCCCCTCCTCATCTTGACCTATGGGCCTAAGGAAACATCCGGCCTTAGACTCAGAATCGCTTCTCTTCACCGCTGGATGCTGGTTCAGCTGGTC